CCGTTACCTTAACCGGTACCGGTACCGGGTCCGGTCCGGACCGGACCGACTCCTACCCTACCTACCTACGTCCCCGACGCCACCGCCGCGTGTGTGTGTGTGTGTGTGTGTGTGTGTGTGTGTGTGTGTGTGTGTGTGTACACTGAAAAATAATACCAACACGGTGAAGAAAAGGGTGAAGGCAAGAAAAGCGATTCATAGCATTTAACAGAAAGAATTTCATTGTCAAGTATACTCTAAATGTTTAGGCTTCACCATCAAGCTGCTTTCCCCTCTTCAGCGCTAACACATCCCTTCCAACGCAGGACTGCTCCAGCGTTCTCTGTTTCCTGGAGCGAAGCGCAGAGCGGAACTGTATCATTTTTCAAGGGGTCAAGAAGTGAAAATATTATAAGGGAAGAAATATTTCCTGAGAGGAAAATAATGTGAAGGGCCCTAGCCTGGGATTCTCAGACATGGAAACGATACATGGGGAAGTACCTCATGCAAGGATTATAAGAAACCTGGGCTTCTGACTTCTAATCAGACTGGAGACTTGTTCCTCGTGCAAGAGCTGAGGGAAGGAGGATGTCAGGATTCTCATCGAGGGACCAAGCACAGGGAGCAACATGAGGAAGCAGACGTCTCCCATCCTGGGGGACACCCCCCACTTCACACCCCTAGGGGTTTGTGGAGGCCGCCACTCTGCCAACCGGGCCTGATTTCCAACCATAACCAGAGAGGGGGAGCCTGGGTTCTAGCAAAGGAGAGAGTAGCTACTAAGAAGTCTGCAGCAGAGGGAGGTTTATTTTCGCTTTGTATGTCTGTAAATAAATGGTTTTAATTTGGGGAAACATACATCTGGAGTGCCGTTGTATTGCCAAACAGACAGAGCCTCGTCGCCATATGACAGCAGCATCCAGAAGGCTGGCTGCTTTTCGGGAAATGTTGCCTGGAGGGGGCGTGGTGCCTCAGAGCTCCGCGTTCGCCGGTCGCCCATCACGGGGCCGCGTTAACGCGTTAATTCTCGGGAAGAATTAACGAGGGCAGGACGCCTGCGTGCGGGGGTCAGAGTGTGGGCCTGGAGTGTGCAGAGTTCTTGCCTCGGTCCTGCCGCTGCCCTTACTTCTCAGCGGCCCCAGTTAGCTTCTCTGAGCCTCGGTGCGATCCTCTGGAGAATGAGCTTCGGTGCGGTGTAAGCACCCAGGATTAATGCACCTCCTTTACGAAAACGGAACATGACTTACTAGACAAACAAGCTCTGCTGAAACCTCCATCGTGGGGGTCTTGAAGGCCGAAGCCTCCAGGGTACATATATAAAATAGTTGTTGGTCCGTTTAAAAAATACTCTTTCCCTCCACATTTTCAAGAACACAGTTGTTTCCTATAGAAAAGTACTTTTCTGAGTTACATACCCTGTTGCTCCTTCATGGATGCCAGTTGACTTGATCTCAAGGCACTTAAAAAATATAAAACCAAAGAAATGTTACCTAAATACCAAAATATTATCAACATCATTAGTATGAAATCATAGAAAGTTGGCCCCCAAAAACGACCTTGGAGATCCTTTTGTTTTATCTGTTCACATTGCAGCTAAGAAAACTTAAACCTGGTGAGATACATTACTGGCCATTTCTAATATTTCAAAATAAGTCCCCCATATAAAATGCTTCATAATGTTACTTCAGGTGCTGATGAGGTAAATTGAAACATCTCAGAAGGAAATAGCAGGTAATTCTGCAAGTCTCTGTTTCCCAGGGTTATCTAGTCACCATTTGTGTGTCCTTTACCTTTAATGTCTTTTTCTTTGTTTTGTTGAAGGAAAAAAAGAGAGAGAGAGAGAGAGAGATCTAAAGGGGAAGAGTAGGAGTTGTGTGGGAGAGAAGTTTGTTTTTCTTCTTTCAGATCCTTTTCTGATTCTTTTCATGACACAACTTTGAGATTCCCTCTTAGGCGCACGAGGATCTCATGTGAACCAAAATAACGCTACCCATTTAAGGAGACCCCTGCTGCTTTTTCTTGTTGTCTTTAAGATATTTGCCATGAAGTCTGACTGTCAGACTTACTCAGAGACAGCTTGGACAAGTTCTTGGTTTCTCAGACACTAGTGAGGAGGAAACATGTTTCGGGAAAATTTGGAGTGGCGGGGAGTGTGAATGGCCAGGCTGTGGTGGTTAGGCTGGTGTGGTGGTTGTGGGGACACAAGACCTACTAGGGGAGGAAGAGGACTCTGCCCCCAAGCTGTTGAGCCAAAGACACGGATGTTATCATTAGCCCCATTTTACAGATGAAGCAGTAACAGCAGAGGGGCTCCCACTACAGATTAGCCATGGAAGCTGGTCCCACTGCATTCTGGAAGGAACAACCAGGACTAACTATCTGTCTTCATTTGGGGCTCCCACTACAGATTAGCCATGGAAGCTGGTCCCACTGCATTCTGGAAGGAACAACCAGGACTAACTATCTAGTCTTCATTGAAAAAAAAAAGTCATCTCCTCAAGTTAAAAAAAAGATATATATATATGTGTTTAGTGTATTATTAGCCAAACTGGATAAACGTACTTGGGCTATTCTCAAGGAAAAGCCAGAGTCGGGGAGGAGATGGCACCATTACCCCTTCCTCCATCTGAATTGGTGACTCTGCACAGTGGCCCTGAGTGGAAGAGGAGTGGGAGACTGGAAGGGTGTAAGGACACAACAGAGGAGTCAAGAGAGCTCTGATTCTGGGGCTTCAGTGATGAAAGTCACTGTAAATGTACCCAACCTGTGGTTCCACGAATCACACTCTTTATTAAATCAGCATATGCGTCCCATCAGGATTCAGGAGAAACACTGTTGCATAGATGCGCCCCCTGGGCTTGGCCACGCTCCTCCCGGAGCTGTTTGCAGAGCCAGGCAGGGCCCTGGGACACCGACACTCTCTCCCACTCACATCCCCAGCCCTTGCCCAGGGCTCCCCACCCGACTCCAGGCCCCCACAGGAAGTGGCCACATGGGGTGCAGGAAATGTGGGCCGTGAGACTTGCATCCCCCGAAGGAGCAACAGCAGGGCCACCTGAGGAGTAGCCGGGACAGGGCTGAGCCGGGAACACGTGCGTGTGCAGTGAGTGTGTGTGCTTGCTCTTGGCCACTCCAGGAACACCTGCGTCTCCCCCTCATCTCCCTGTGGGCCAGTTGCAGGGGCGGGTTCAAATTTTGTGGAACCTAAAATTTACACAATTATGGAGCTCTCTTAAAGAAAAAAATTACAAAATTATAAATACCAGCTTGTGTGAAAATATTTATTTAGTATGAAAAAAGAAACTACAGCAAATGACAATTCTAAAGATCTGACAAATACCAGAAACATCACAAAGTCTAGAAACATATTTTTATTTGTTAACAGCCTGACACCTTTATATGTTTTCCACGTTTTCTTGGCTGCTCTTTGACCCACTTTTCCTCTGACGACAGTATTGTAATAGCATTTTCTAGAGCGAGAATGGATAGATAGTTCAATTTCAGTCTTTGCTTTCTAGCTGAAAACTTTCAGCTTTACAATTTCTTATTGGCAATGTTTTACTCTTTTTTTTTTTTTTAAGAATTGTTGTCAAATGTGGGGAAGCCTCTGTCAAGTTTCTTTCATATATGAACTGTAGGATTTGAGGTTATTTTGAGTTTTCTTGCACAGTGACTAATCCTAGATATTCTGTAAATTGATAACACTCATCAGCCAGAGCATCATATATCGCCTTGCAGTGGTGAATATAAGTTTCCTGTTTTCTTCACTGAAGTCAATATTTTATGTCAAATTGGCAGGAAATTAAAACCATTTCAATGTGTTCAACAAATCATACCAATGATTTACTCTTCCTCTTTCATTGAATTATCAAGTAATCCAAGAATCAGCCCATCAGACCTCATATTACTGAATTCACTTTATTCTTTATTGCACTTCGCAGATACAGTGTGTTTTAAAAATTGAGGGTTTGTGGCAACCCTGCATTGAGCAAATCTATCCGTGCCATTTTTCTCACAGCGTTTGCTCACTTTGTGTCTCTGTTGTTACATGTTGGTAATTCTAGCAATATTTCAAACTTTTTCATTATTATTATGCTTGTTATCATGATCTGTGATAAGCGACTTTTGATGTTACTACTCCGACTCACCAAAGGCTCAGATGGTAGCATTTTCTAGCAATAAACTATTTTATTTAGGCTATGTAAACTGATTTTTTTTTAGGTATAATGCTATTGCACACTGGAAAGACTAAAGTATAGTGTAAATATAAGTTATATATGCACAGGGAACCACCTCAAAATTGTGACTCACTTTATTGTATCATTTACTTTATT